GGTTTCAGCTTACAGAAATAGACAGGAGGTCTGTGTCGCTAGAAAGAAGGTGCTCCTTAAAACGCACGCAAATTTCCTCTGTTGAACAGTATTTTATTTGCACTTTCATCTTCTCATTTTCTCTCATCCCTCCCCTCAGTGAGCGGTTGGAGGACTGTTCTCGTAAGCTGATAAAGGAGGACCGGCTGAACGCTGGCCTGGCCTTCCCCACCGGGTGCTCTCTGAACCATTGTGCTGCCCACTACACTCCCAACGCCGGAGACACCACCGTCCTGCAGTACGACGACGTCTGCAAGATCGACTTCGGCACGCACATCAACGGTACTGCAGGAATTAAGTGCTTCTTCAGCTGCACTTTGTGCTGATGTTGAACAGCGATGCATTCAAGGACCGCTCTATAACAATAATGGATAGACAGAGTAGCTGCCACTAAAGATCTACACCTCAGGCAGCTAATGGTTTACATTCATTACTGTACATAATGAAAATGAATTGTCAGACACTGGAAACTCGGCACTGAAAGGTAATTCATCATCACACTGGACTGTTTGTGTCGGTAATAATTCTCCAAACAAGTTCCAGCTTTGTTGTAAGTGCAGATTGAATACTAATTATGCAACTCAGAGAGGTTTCAGCACAACATCTAAAAACATAACTCAGCTCAGAACAGATCCACTAAAAGACGCTCTGCTTTCTGCCTGGTGTCTGTTTGCAGGGCGAATCATTGACTGTGCCTTCACTGTCACATTTAATCCAAAGTATGACAAGCTGCTGGAGGCTGTGAGAGACGCCACCAATACTGGAATCAAAGTATGACGAACACAAACATGCTTTACTCTGATATGTTTTATCTGCGCACTGCCTGGAGCTCACGACTTCCTGTTTGTTGCAGAACGCCGGCATTGATGTGCGTCTGTGTGATGTTGGAGAGGCGATTCAGGAAGTGATGGAGTCCTACGAGGTCGAGCTTGATGGCAAAACATACCAAGGTGGGTTCTTTTGACCTCACTTTGAAAGTAGGAGTGAAGGAGGTAGTTTGGTCTTGTCAGTTCATATGTAGAGTTACACATATTTTTTACGAAATATCTTGTTGCTTGTTTATCTCTGACCCTTGTATGTTCTGCTTCAGTGAAGCCAATCCGAAACCTGAACGGCCATTCAATCGGTCAGTACAGAATACATGCTGGTAAGACTGTGCCCATCGTTAAAGGAGGAGAAGCAACGAAAATGGAGGTGAGTTCATGACCTCTGCTGGTTTGTCAAAAATACGTAACATGTTTCGAATACTGGAACTCAGATTTTTTGCATTTTAAAGATTTTTAAAGGCCTAAAATCATAAAAATGTGGCTGCATGTAAAACTTTTTAAGGCCTTCAAGTTTTAGGCCTTTTCAGAATCAGCAGTCACCCTGTTACCGATTTTGTTGTTTTCACCGTGCAGGAGGGAGAAGTTTACGCCATTGAGACATTTGGCAGCACAGGTAAAGGTGTGGTGCACGACGACATGGAGTGCTCTCACTACATGAAAAACTTTGACGTCGGCCACGTCCCCATCAGGTAATAATGCATCCCTCTACACAGAACATGCTCCTATTATTTGATGTTAGAATATTCCGGGTCTGATAAAGGAGGAGCTTAAAATCAATTTGAAATGTAACAGGAAGTCCGTGCAGAGCAGCTCAGACTGGCCTGACGTGCTCTGAAATGAACGATATTTACATCCCCAGTCTAACACGACTTATGTTTACTTCCCTCCTTCCTCTCCAGGCTGCCCAGAGCCAAGCACCTGCTAAACGTTATCAACGAGAACTTTGGCACGTTGGCGTTCTGCCGGCGCTGGCTGGACCGTCTGGGCGAGAGCAAATACCTGATGGCCCTGAAAAACCTGTGCGACCTGGGCATCGTGGACCCCTACCCTCCCCTCTGCGACACCAAGGGCTGCTACACCGCTCAGTTCGAGCACACCATCCTGCTCAGGCCCACCTGCAAGGAGGTGGTGAGCCGGGGAGATGACTACTGACACCCCAACCCCACCCACGAACAACACCACAGCCCCTCCTCGTCACCACCACACAGCACCCTCGTTAGCTCCTTCAGAGAGGCAGGACACGGTCGTCTCAGAGCAGCTTTGAGGGATGCCAAATGCTACTGTGTTCTCCCCACAATACACCACTCGCAGCTTGCAAGGAAGAAAGACTGGCCTTCTAAGTTTCCTATCATCAACCACAGCTAAGAATTATAAACAAGCCAACACGTTTCTGTCAGGGGAAGCATTGTGGTTCCCTGCAATGCCCCGCGGACCTCATTTTACAACATATTAAACCTTTATTTAAGCTGCTGCTGAATCTAGTGCACCCCCAGTATTCAAAGAGACGGTGAGCGTGGGGAAACCCCCCCCCCCCCCATACCTCCCTTTCATTTTCAAAGTTTTCTATGGCTCCACTCTGAGCCTCCAGTGCTTTAGTGCTCGAGTTAAATTAAGCACAAATGCTACTGACAGGTGTAAGACGTGGTTCGGCCAATGCATGGCCTGAAACCTCTGCAAACAGACAATTCCTAACATTTAAAAACTCGGGGTGTCGTCATCATAAATCTTCATACAGACACCATGCATCTGCAGACGTATGTTTGGCTTCTGTCGCAGCGGGAGGGAACTCTGCACTCTGGCCCTCTAGCGACCGTTTCTTTGATATTTGTAAAATATCTCTGAAGTGGTTGCTGCCACTGTTTGTTCCCCAGTTAAAAACGCTTCATTTTGAACTCCCTGAAAATGTTTTTGTATGAAAAGAAAAATAATTAAAATGATTTTGCTCATTGTGTCCTCCTCTGTTTGTGGTCAGTTACAAGAAATCTAATTCCACAGTTACCAGACAGTCTGTAGCAACACTTTTCATGGATTAAGTCATTTTTTTAAGTAACAGAAGGACATTTTCTTTTGAGAGTTGGATAAGAAGCCTCAAAGACTGAAATGTCTGTCCAGAAAATATATTTAAATCTCGTCGATGTAGCTTTTCTGTGTTAATCACATGTAGATTTACTTGTGTCAGGATGTAGTGAGGGACATCCATCACATATTCCCACTCAGATTGTTTTGTAAAACGAACCTGCAAAAAACTACGAGGTAAAGCATTTAGTTTACAGTCAGAAAAGACTAAGAAAGGGATTAGTTTAACAAGCAGCCAGCCTGGCTCTTTCAAAACCCTAAATTGCCACTTTTACACCTCATTAATTACATATTAAACAAATGCGCAGTGTGGGAGAGGTTATTTTTCAAACAATGGGTTACAAGTTACCCTGCGAAAAACTAATAAGTAACTGTTAAAATAATGGTAATCAAGTAATGGTAATGGTTAAGGTAATGCAACTTATTACACTTGATTACTTTTGTAACTGGATAATAAAGCTGTACAGTGATAGGCTGTGGCGGAAGACACTATTCCTGCACAGCCCAGAAAGATGCAAAGCAACACATCTGTCATAGAGAGCATTGGGAAGGTTACTTTTACAATGTAATAGGCTTACTAGTTACCTTGTTAAATATGTATTAAGTAATGTAACTTAATTACTTCATCAAAGTAATGTTGCATTATATTTGATTACTTGTCTAGCAAATGTTTTAAACTGGGCAATAAAGCTAAAAAATGAATGCAAAGCAACAGAAACAGCAAACCAACCAAAACACAAGAAACTAACAAAAAAGATGATTAAAATTCCACAGAGTAAAGAGAGAGTAGATGAATAAATAAAGTAGAATAAAAATGGACAGAGAAGGTGATTGGCTGCAATCTGCCCTCCCTCTAGGACCTGTCACACACTGAGATTTTATATTTAATTGTTAAAAGGGAACTAATGTTTTTTCAACCTGGGCCCTATTTTCCGATCTTCTTTTGTCTAAATGAGTGACAGGATCTTATCTTACTATATAATGATGAAAGCTCAGTGTGTCTGTTCCACGTTTTTCTCCTCACTGACTTGGCCAATCCATGTGAACTTTGGCACAGTGGTAGAGGGTAACAACCAGAACAGAATTCATTTCCATATAATCTCACTATACTGCAATTAAGAGTATAATAAACACTCAATGTGGACCAGGATCTCAGAAGTTTAGGTCGCACGGCTCTATTAAATGCTGCATTCTGATTGGTCAGTCGCGATTGGTCTGATATTATTGTGTAATGACCGTTGCTATGTAGCCCAGCGTTGCTAGGGACGCTGCCCTGACAACAGTTACTTTTTTATCGGGCTAACGTAGCCGTTACCGCTTCAAAATAATAATTTACAAGATATAAAGATGGAGTATTTTCATGATATAACTTTTAACATATTTGGTGAGCATGAAAATCTTGAGTCATGGTTACTGGCTGAAGATGAGAAGAATGCCGGAGAAGAGGGATGCTCAGAGGCGCACGGAAAAGAGAGGCTATTTTCTTTTCATTTTCTCTTGATTCCCTGTAGCTATTGTAGCGCAGATTCAGCCGTTGCCGGCAGTTTTTTTTCTCTCCTCCCGATTTAATTTATAAATCAATAAAAATCGTATAATTAATCAATATTCTGTCTCAAATTATTTGTTTAACTGATAATTAGCCGTGTAATAAGCGGGATAATGTATAATGAGCCGGTGAATACTGGGAAAACAACGCGGAGGGGTTCTATTCCCCTGAAGGGAGCTGAAAAAATGACTCAGAAAAACAGAAAAAATTACACCAAAAAACACAAAAATAAATAAAGTACTTCGAAAAACAGAAAGGATTACTCAGAAAAACGGGGCTTTTTTATTTGTCAAGTGAATGCAATACACTTCCGTATTTTAACGTTACAATGTTGATTAAATATAAATCGGCGACAATAGCACTTCCACCGGAAGTGTCTACATAAACGATTTTATTTTGAAGTTTCTTGCATGCATTTCCCGGCCTGAGACTGGATGCACCGGAAGCATCTGCAGCCAGACTGTTTTGTACGTCTCGCGAGATTTGAGTTGTTGCAGGAAGTTACCGCTGGAGCGAGCTTTCAAACGCGAGGAGTTACTTGTCGAGTAGCACACAGAAAGTAGCTGAGTGTTGTAAGTGTAAAAACAACAATGCCTCGTCCTTGCGCATATCCCAACTGTAGAAACAAAATGTCGCGCTACAACCCACGGAGCTTTCACAGACTCCCCTATTCTGACATGGAGACGCTGAAGTCGTGGCTAGTTGTGCTACAAATGGATGCTAACACTCCTGTAGCCACACTGCGCCTTGCCGACTATCGGGTCTGCGGTGATCATTTTGACCGGGATGACTACTGCCAGACCAAGAAGACACCCAATCCTAAGCTCCTTCGCCTAAAGAAAAATGCGGTTCCAAGAGTGGAGGTAATTGAATAATTATTCAAATTGCCTACTTAGCTAGTAGGCTATATAAAGTTTGCTGTCATTGGCGCTGCTTTCACAGCTATAGTGGCTTACGTTAGCTAACTAGCTAGATAGGTACAATAATATTCTGTATGAGTGCTTTTCAAGCTTACACGTGTTTCAGACATGATGACAGAGTTTGCCTACCTGCTCCCAAGCCTGTCATCCCCCAAGCTTATGTTAGAAATTCAAGTCAACTTTACTTATAGAGCACATGTACAAATAACAACTGTTGACCAAAGTGCTTTCCAGAGACACTCCCCTAATGCCAGGTCTCACTGCTCCCTGCACCAACCCAACAACCTCCTTTACCTTACTTACACATGGCCAGGTAGAGACAGTGCTGATACTACCTTTCCTAGCACATTCACCATACTCTATTTCACACGCTACATAGCATAACTCCAATATAAGCTAAAGTTAAAGGAGATAGAGAAGATAAACTCACAGGCTTTCTCAGCCCAAACAGCACTGCCACCTNACACGCTACATAGCATAACTCCAATATAAGCTAAAGTTAAAGGAGATAGAGAAGATAAACTCACAGGCTTTCTCAGCCCAAACAGCACTGCCACCTCTAACAAACCCAGGCTCCGTTTGTGCGAGCTCCAGGTAGTGACAGTGCCGATACTACCTATCCTAGCACATTCACCATACTCCAATACTCAATTTCACACTCCCATATAAGCTAAAGTTAAAGGAGATAGAGAAGATAAACTCACAGGATCAGCAAACTAGAAAGCAGTGATCTGTCAGCTGATCTGAGGGGACGAGAGGTGGAATAGGGAGTGAGGAGTTCTGAAATATAATCTGGTGCTGGTCCATGCAGTGCTTTAAAAACAAATAAAAGAGAAAAATAAAATAACTCATCTGTTTGATTGTTTGAAACATTGTTTGATTGGTTGTCAAATACTGTGGATATTCTATAGCTGACATTGTTATCCTGTAGGTTTCAGAAGCATCCAGCTCTGTAGCGATGGAGGTGATGGGGCTCCAGAGGGGGTTGAATCACTTGCTGTGTATGGACGTGGATGTTGGTGTTATGACCACAGACAGATCACCATCCATCGGGAAAGTCATGAGTGATACTGACACCAATATCCACCACAAATTCAACCCCTGGCATGCCTGCAAGAGTAAGTAACATATCTGGAATACAGTACACTTTACTACAAAACCCAGGGTCAATGCACAACTGCTTTTCAATTTGTTGATTTTCTGCATAATGTTATATACATCATCCTAAGTTTAAAGGGGAACTAATGTTTTGTTCAACCTGGGCCCTATTTTCTGATCTACTTTTATCTAAATGAGTGATAGGATGTTCAATATTTGACATTTCTCCAGTACGAAGCTAGGGCTGACCTGCCTGCAGCCCGTGGGCATGCGCTATATTAAATAATAGGGCACTCAGACAGCTTCAAACAACGTCAAAATACGTCCACTAAAAGTGCATTTTTTTCACACAGATAGGCTCGGATTGTTAGTATAATTATCCGACAACATAACGGAAAGGAGAAATGAACGTCTGTGTTTACCTTTAGTTGGAGTCGGACATGTTTGTTGTGGCAAGTCAAAACACTCACTCAGGGAGGGAAAGTCTGGCTCTGAAATCTCACGTCTCGCAAGATTTGATTTACCACTGGAGCGAGCTTCCAAATGAGAGGAGTGAGTCATGGCTGAATTTTTACCTGCCTCTGAAGAAACAGTGCTGATACTACCTTTCCTAGCACATTCACCATACTCTATTTCACACGCTATATAGCATAACTCCAATATAAGCTAAAGTTAAAGGAGATAGAGAAGATCAATTCACAGGCTTTCTCAGCCCAAACAGCACTGCCACCTTCAACAAACCCAAGCTCCGCTTATGCGAGCTCCAGGTAGTGACTGTGGTGATACTACCTATCCTAGCACATTCACCATACCCTATTTCACATGCTACATATCATAACCCCAATTAGCCAATTAGGGCTGTGCGATTGCCTCTAAATTTCATATTGTGGATTGTCGTTGCTCTAGATTGCCAATACACGATGAAATCGCCGGGGGGGGGGTGTTACGTCCTTGGCACGTGTCTTACGTCGATCACTACCACGTTATTTTAATATTTTGCATCACATACAAAATACAACATGCTAACGTTATTAGCACAAGCCTATGGCATTTTACATTGTATAAATTAGCCTAGCGACTAGCTGAGATTTCCTCTGCTCATATGAAGCCAGGATAAATCACACACAAGACTTAAAATGCTATTTTTTGTGGAGGCTTTATTGTCTTCACAATTCATTGTTTCTTATCTGTGAAATTAAAGTAAACAACAGCTTTGTTTGGCACCACATGATACCATTAGCATTGCAAGATAATGACTGAGGATGTCTTACAGGGGAGGCAACCATTGATCCAGAAAGTCCAGACTTTGTTCCCTCTTTGCTCACTTACCCAAGTGAGAGCCAGTGTATGGAGGCTCCAAAAAAACTGGACAGGTAACCTTCTCCGTTGTTTTGCTGTCATTTTACTGTACCAAATGTTGGTAGTATGTCTTGATTAATATTTCTTGGTCGTTATGTGTTTTGGTTATAGGTTCATTAGGAAGAGAAAGAGAAAGAGAAAGCGGTCTGAAACCATCAGCAACTCCTCTCTGGCTGACACATCGGACTCTATCACTGCAGCTCAGGTGTCTTCCACTGTGGAGCCAACATCAGACTCTCAGCCTCCAGACTGTCAAGAGGAGCTTACTGGTAAGAGTTTGTCGCATGCCTGTGACCCTGGGAATCCTCCTTTTGTGATATTATAGTCACAAATAGCTCTGTAACAACTTACGCAAGCTGCCTGTTGTTTGTACAGTTACCAGAGTGGATTGAGATTGCATCCTTGTCCAGTAATCTGGTGCATCTCATTTAATGGTCAAATGACACAAATGAGACAAGAATTAGCTAGCTGGCCACCCTGCTGTCTCTCCGCCTTTCCCCACTGCAGTTCAACAAGCGCAAAACCTATCACCAAGTGTTCTGTCTAACAGCGGGGCTGTTGCTATTCGCAGAGCTGAAAGTTCGTCTCCTTGGACTGTCCACCATTTCCTGCTTTCTTGAAATGGATATGATGTCACATTATTCAGAAACTGCAACAGTTAAAGTGGCATTTTCTTTCCACCTCTGCAATTATTTCGATTCAGGCATTAAAAAAATGTCAAAAGAAAAATTGTTATACTTAAGTGAATCAGTTTTCTTCCATCCCTAGTTTTTACTCTCCTAAGGTCTCATTTATGAACCTGTCGTATGCACAAAACGAGGCCTGAAAAAAGCGTACGCCACCCCTCACGCCAATGTCGTGATCTATAAACATAGACTAGAAGGGAGAAACTTTGACCTATGCTTGTGAACATTTTGGAGACAGAAAATTGGTGATGCAGATGGTGAAATGGAAGCCTTATTGTAAAGGTTGTCGAATATTTTTTGATGCATGCTATTTTTGGCTTTTGTCCACATGTACATTTTTAGTATGGAGCCTACGCAATGTTTTATAAATGAGACCCCTGGTGTGTAACTGTGGCCATACTTTTGTTTGTCAGACTGCTCGGTGGCCTTCACTGCGACTATCTCGGACCACACTGACACCTCAAGCTCCGCACCTCCCGCTGACCCACCTTGCCGCTCAGTTCACACACGTTGGATGGACCCTACACGACAAGATCATGATTATTGCAAGAAGGCCAATGGAAAAGATGTGCGCGATAAGACGACTCAGGTTGATGAGTTTGGGTACTTCATTCTTCAAAATGACGCGGATGCTTTGCTCCACACTGGTATACTCTTGGAAACATTTAACATCCTTGTGTCAACACTTGAAGGACATGCTTACAGTGTGTTTACGCTGTCTGTGCGAGATCAAGTTCTCATGACACTTATGAAATTAAAGACCAACTGTGAGACAGACGATCTGAGCAGACAGTTTTATGTGTCACAGGGCATGGCTAGCAGGGTAATCTCATATTGGATTGACAAACTGGACCAAGTTTTGCGACCTCTAATTCCATGGCCTCCAAAAGAAACTCTTCAAGCAACCATGCCCGGAGCATTTAAGAGGAACTTTCCGGATACGACATGTATTTTAGAATTCAGTCAGAGCCGGTTACAAAAACGCAAGAACCCTGATTCGTATAAGACAGTGAAATACCAGGTGGCTGTCGCCCCATGTGGACTAATCATGTTCATCTCTGCAATATATGAAAGGCGATGCAATGACACATTCATAACCAAGAACTCGGGAATATTAGACTTCTTAAAGCCTGGAGATGAGGTCATGGCAGTTCGAGGTGTCACCATAGAAGATTTGCTGTTTGAGAAAGAGGTTAAGTTGGTCGTTCCATCTTTCACGGAAAAAGGTCCAGCTAAGGAACGGGTGAGAGTCAGTAGACGAATAGAACGTCAATTTGAAAGAGCAGTCGGACGTTTGAAAATGTATAAAATCATATCACAGGTTCCGAACGCCATGGCCCAGAAAATAAGCAAGATTCTGAGAATATGTGCTGCTCTTGTCAATTTAAGGGAGGATCTCATGCGTGACTCACATTGATTTATCACAGTGGTTCCCAACTGGTCCAGATTTCTCCTGAGGCCCCCATCACACAGAAAGCGTTTTGCAGGTTAAATGCCGCTAGTAAAAAAAGAATGCTTCCTGCAGCTTTTTTTTTTTTTTGGTTAGAATTTCTATGTAATCAATCGACCGTGAATTTACTTATTTTATTAATTTGACAGTATCTAGTCCCTAAAATGTTGAGGCATTACCCTCTGGTTGAGGGTGAGAGGCTGTCAGCAGATAAACAGAGATCTGTGTTGGTACATGAGACCCTAAAAAGAGGGTGGGTCATGGGGAGTACCACCAGTTGGTCCAGGAGCTTCTCCTCCATGATGGCTGTTTCCAAGCATATTTTAGGATGACTCAGGGGCAGTTTGACAACCTGCTGTCAATCATCAGGCCGTATATCTCTGGGTATCCAGCAGCCTCTACCACCAGTTTCTCTTCCATTGTTTACCAACTGTAAACTTGTTGTCGTGACAACCACAGAAGGCCTGCCTCTCTAATAATCTGATTGGACAATGGAAGAAAAGCTGAGATGACGTGGAGCACTTTTCTGCTATGAGTTGAAGTTTTTTCAAGTCAAGGACTTCGGAGCTCTCCAGCAAAAAACACCAAAAAGCTTCATTCTCATTAAAAACAATCACAAAAAGCCGCCTCCAGCTGCTAAAACACTTTCTGTGTGATCGGGGCCTGAGTCATTAGTTCAAGGTCCACGCAGTTTAATACATTCAGCATCATAGTTGTGTTTGGCCATGTTGTCGAGCTAGTTTTCTGTCTCTGTTAGGTAACTGTCCCTTTGTCAGTCACTCTACAGCAGATAAAAGCTCTGTGCCAGAAATTCACTGTATTTAAAAATATATTGTGTTTTTACAAACGTGACACGTTTCAGAGTCACTTTGGGTCCATTCAGAATGGACCCATGACCCACCTTTGGACTGCGACCAACCAGCTGGGAACCACTGACTTTGCAACCTTTGCAACGTGTCAGTCAAATCACCAGTACTGCCCTCTTCCACATAAAAAACATAGCTTGTCTCCGCCCATCACTCTCCCCCACCGCTGCTGAAACTCATCCATGCCTTCATCTCATCCAGAATAAACTCCTAAATAAACTCCAGTACATCCAGAACTCTGCTGCCTGTCTGCTCACCCATTCCCACTGGCTTCCTGTCCCACAACGCATCCAATTCAAAGTCCCTCTCCTCACTCATAAAGTCCCCTCCTACCTCACTGACCTGCTCCACCGCCACACTCCCTCCCGTAGCCTCCTCTCCTCTGATGCCAACCACCTGACTCCTTTTGAAAAGATGAGTTTTGAGTAGTGAATGATGTTGTGTGTATTTTAGTGTAGTCTATTTTATGATCATTTTTAACCTATGTAAAGTGTCTTTGAGTACCATGAGAAGTGCTCTATAAATAAATGTATTATTATTGTTATTATCAGTACTGCCAAGTTTGACCACAATTCATGAGCAGTGATTGACAACTGCTTTAGAAACTCCCCTGGTCATCTGTCTCATACAGTGCATCCAGAAAGTATTCACAGCGCTTCACTTTTTCCACATTTTGTTATGTTTCAGCCTTATTCCATTTTCTTATTCATTTTTTTTCCTCAGAATTCTACACACAACACCCCATAATGACAATGTGAAAAAAGCTTTTTTGAGATTTTTGCAAAGATATTAAAAATAAAAACTAAGAAATCACATGTACATAAGTGTTCACAGCCTTTGCTCAGTACTTTGTTGATGCACCTTTGGCAGCAATTACAGCCTCAAGTCTTTTTGAATATGATGCCACAAGCTTGGCACACCTATCTTTGGGCAGTTTCGCCCATTGCTCTTTGCAGCACCTCTCCAGCTCCATCAGGTTGGATGGGAAGCGTCGGTTCACAGCCATTTTCAGATCTCTCCAGAGATGTTCAATCGGATTCAAGTCTGGGCTGTGGCTGGGCCACTCAAGGACATTCACAGAGTTGTCCTGAAGCCACTCCTTTGATATCTCCTCTGTGTGCTTAGGGTCGTCGTCCTGCTGAAAGATGAACTGTCTCTGTACATTGCTGCATTCATCTTTCCCTCTATCCTGACTAGTCTCCCAGTTCCTGCCGCTGAAAAACATCCCCACAGCATGATGCTGCCACCACCACGCTTCACTGTAGGGATGGTGTTGGCCTGGTGACGAGCGGTGCCTGGTTTCCTCCAAACATGACGCCTGGCATTCACACCAAAGAGTTCAATCTTTGTCTCATCAGACCAGAGAATTTTGTTTCTCATGGTCTGAGAGTCCTTCAGGTGCATTTTGACAAACTCCAGGTGGGCTGCCATGTGCTTTTTACTAAGGAGTTGCTTCCGTCTGGCCCCTCTACCATACAGGCCTGATTGGTGGATTGCTGCAGAGATGGTTGTCCTTCTGGAAGGTTCTCCTCTCTCCACACAGGAACGCTGGAGCTCTGACAGAGCGACCATCAGGTTCTTGGTCACCTCCCTGACTAAGGCCCTTCTCCCCCCGATCGCTCAGTTTAGACGGCCGGCCAGCTCTAGGAAGAGTCCTGGTGGTTTCGAAATTCTTCCATTTACGGATGATGGAGGCCACTGTGCTCATTGGGACCTTCAAAGCAGCAGAAAGTTTTCTGTACCCTTCCCCAGATATGTGCCTCGAGACAATCCTGTCTCGGAGGTCTACAGACAATTCCTTTGACTTCATGCTTGGTTTGTGCTCTGACATGCACTGTCAACTGTGGGACCTTATATAAACAGGTGTGTGCCTTTCCAAATCATATCCAATCAACTGAATTTACCACAAGTGGACTCCAGTTAAACTGTAGAAACATCTCAAGGATGATCAGTGGAAACAGGATGCACCTGAGCTCAATTTTGAGCTTCATGGCAAAGGCTGTGATTACTTATGTACATGTGATTTCTTAGTTTTTATTTTTAATAACTTTGTAAAAATCTGGGGTGTTGTGTGTAGAATTTTGAGGATAAAAATGAATATAATCCATGTTGGAATAAGGCTGAAACATAACAATGTGGAAAAAGTGAAGCGCTGTGAATACTTTCCGGATGCACTGTATATTTCAGTGGACATACTGACAGTTTCAGCAAATATTACAAAGTTATTTTTATAAAAATTACCAACTGTAGCTGTAAAAATTGCTGTTATTATTAGTTACAATTTGTGATTTTGGGCTACATACCATGAAACTAGCCTGGTGTGGCTACACATTTTAACAAATAAATGCCTGTCTCCATCAGAGGCCTGGTCAGCTACCTTACAATACGTGTCCATTCCTTGATTACTTTGTAAATTATTCATATTCCTTTTGTCTGTAAGGGTCCTCAGATCAAAATAATCAAAAGGGTTTTTCATAAGAATTAATCCAAGTTGTGAGTGTTGTTTTAACAGGATGAAGTGGTGTTGTGTCGGTATGCCAAGTGCCGCAATCCTCGAGTGACGTAACTTACTCCCTGTGATGAGCTGTCAGAGCTAGAACTAACAAATGATTCATAATTGATATATTATCTGAAGCCTTATTTTTAAACAAGTAATATGTATACTATGTATATATTTAAGATATTACCCAAAAATAAAAATGAAAAGTAAAAAGAAAAACAATTAATTTACCTCAAAACAAGCAAAAAAGGTAATGTAAAAAAAACAAACAAGAAAATTACCTGAAAATAAGGAAAAAAAGAAAAGTAAAAAAAAACAAGAATAATTACCTGAAATTAAGCAAAAAGTAAAAGTAAAAAATAAAATAACAAAATAAAGCAAAAACCAAAAGCAAACAATAGCCGGAAAATAAGCAAAAAAGAGAAGTAAAAAGCTAAAAACTCAAATCTACCTGAAAAACATTGCTAAAAATGAAATATATATTTTCTGTAGCATAATTTGAAATATATATTTATAACTCAACATTTCTGTATTTTTTTTCTAATTTTCTAATAACACTTTTATAATAATTAAAAATATAAAAAAGTACCTCCCCCCCATGTTTTTCATAGAAAACAATGTCAACCCAGGTTTAATAAACTATTTTATTTTATTTCCCAGTCTTTGCTGAGCAATAGTTTTGTGTGAAAGGTTTTAAAGGCATGTTCCAAACATAGGCCCTTTGAGTTCAGTGATGTAAGCAATTAATAGCCCAGGCTGTTAGCTTAAGTTTTACAGTAAATAAAGTTGACCTAGCTTCATGTACAAAACTGGAACAAGCAAGACAGGGGCATGTTTTGTAGAAAAATGAAAAAATATTCTCATTTATTGAGGTAAGTTTCTCTAGAAAAAACTGAGGTAACAATTTGCATAGTATAACTTCCATAAATTTACACACACACATACACACATCCATGGAGTAGTAACCAAAACAAATGCCAACAATGTGTCACGTCATCTGACAATGAAGGAAAGACAATATGAAGTGTGCTTTGAATTCCCCTCTCATGGGAGGGGACACGGCTGAGGTGGAGAATACCTTTTTTTTTCCTTAATACAATTTTCTCCAGTATGGAGATAAATATCACAATCTGTATACACTGCAGGAATCTGGATATTGTTCTGAACATTATAGTAAATTAAATACAGTATGCACACACACCTACGCACTGGTGGGAGAACAGTCATACCTGCTGGTGGTGGTGTTGATCAGCGGTTGTATAAAAACTTTAAAAAACAGTCAATGGCCTCTTTTCTAAAACCTCTGAGAAGGACTGTATAAAAATACATTCATAATCTAAATGCTGGTCTGGGTGGGCCTGCAGCTGTGCAGATTCCAACTTTGCTGAACTGATATGAGCTATAAAAATATACTCTCAACAAAAGGGCACTTCTCTAGAACACTAGTTCGGGGATGGTTCGCACTCTGAAGACAATTACATTCTGGAGCAGAGAGGTGGCAACATTTAGCCAAAAAATAAAAAACAACCCATCCCTTTGGAAACTTCTTCTCCCCTCCAGTGACAGAGGGAGAAAAAAAATAAAAAAAAGCACCCAGCAAATGTTGAACCGTTTTGGAAATGCTGAGAGGTTTTTCCATACACTTCCCCCAAGGCTTTGGCTTGAGGTCTGCCAATGTTTCCTGACAGACCCAGGAGTACTTCAGAGTGAAAAATAAACTTCCTGCCCTGCTTGTGTACAGATCTTCAACTATAAACCCAGTAAAAATACAATGCTGATAGCCTATTCTGTAGAAATTAGTGCATCTCTGGCAGGAAACAGCCATCTTTGATAGCATCCATTAAAACTTTACCTGTCTACAACACAGGGAGGCCATTTTATAGCGAGTGAATGACATTTTACAACCCTACATCCAGTTCTGTGACGTCTATCTAAAGTGACTGAGACATTTCAGCTGATTTTAAACAAAACGAACAGCATTTACAATCAACAAAGCCACCAAACGCAGGTAGGCAGACACGTGAATACACCTGTATGACCTGTAAGAAGACACTTGAGTCTGTTGGCTGCTACTGAGACACATCTTGGCTGATACTCTTCTTTATAAAATACACCTGTACACAAATCACAAACATGATCACCATCTTTTAAAAATACCTACATATAAACACCATATACAAGAAGTTCACAAAGCAGAACCAGGTTTTAAAAAGGAGTTCTTTCTCTCTTTTTTTTTCCTTATTTAGAAAAATAGACTAGAAACACCCATCCTCCCAGGATATAAATGCCCAAAGAAAGAGAGGGAAGAGAGAAAGAGCGATAGGTGGGGCTGTGCTGATATCGTCTCGCTGAGTGGTCAGGCTGCAGCGGAGGAGGAGGATGAGGAGGGGGACTGTGGTCCTATAGCGGCCGGTCTTTGTCCTGAGTTACTCGCTGTGTGTAGAAGAGGATGTAGGCCTGAGCACGACAGACCTCCTCCACCGAACACACATTCAGCTTAGAGTCATTACAGTGAACCCAGAAGCCTGCAGGAGAAAACAAGGACAAATTGTTTAACATGAGGACAGCTGGAGAACTCAAAGAAGCAACAACAAAGCTGTCTGAATAAGTGAATTACATTGCTTAAAAGGCCACTCCACCAAATGAACACGTGAAGATCAGTTTAGACATCATGAGGAGTACAGTGTTTCCCCCAAAGACTTTTTTTCCAGCAGTGATGCTGGTGTGTGTAAGGTGGAATTTATACTTCTGCGCTGAATCGACGCTGTAGGCTCTGCGTCAACATGAAGCCTACGCCGTAGCCTGACGTGCACCTCCCCAGAAATGTAACTACACGTCACAGTGACGCAGACTTCCTGTCTGTCTCTGTAAGCTGAAACCATTTCCCTCAGTGGAAACAAAGCTTTTATTTACTTTAATTTCACAGATAAACAATAAATTGTGAAGACAATAAAGCCTCCACAAATAGCATTTTAAGTCTTGTGTGTGATTTATCCTGGCTTCATATGAGCAGAGGAAATCTCTGCTAGCTGCTAGGCTAATTTATACAATGTAAAATGCCATATGCTTGTGCTAATAACGTTAGCATGTTGTATTTGTTTGGAAAACGTGTTTAGTATAAGACACTTGTGTCAGTGAACCTTGTGAGTTTATACAATGTAAAATGCCATATGCTTGTGCTAATAACGTTAGCATGTTGTATTTGTTTGGAAAACGTGTTTAGTATAAGACACTTGTGTCAGTGAACCTTGTGAGTTGTAATGGAGCTGAATTTTGTAACGTTACCTTTGTTAAATGTTGCTGTTGTCCCTGGCTTCATATGAGTAGAGGAAAAGTCAGCTAGCTGCTAGGCTAATTTATACAATGTAAAATGCCATAGGCTTGTGCTAAAAACATTAGCATGTTGTATTCGTGGGGAAAATGTGTCCAGATAAAGACAAGTGTTTGTCTGCGAATGCTGCGAGTTATAGTGAAGCTGATTTGTGTACTTGTGTTTGAAACTGTCTCTATTAAGCCATGTTTAATGTGTGTTTAATGTGTGTTTTGAATCAACTAAACTTTACAGCACTTCACAGAAATCCTGCCACTGACTAGTGTTTTGGAGGTGTAACTGCAGAGTGACACAGACACACCACTGCACAAGTATAAATGCTCACAACGGTGTATAAATCCTGCTCAAGTTTTAATCTGCACCACTGGAGGATATTTAGCACGTCCGTGTTGCTAACACAAGAAAGGCTTCAGACACATATTTGTACACAGTTATAAATGTTGTATCACCTTGAATAAAACGCTTCCAAGATTTTTGCCTCTCCTCCTCCTCCTCTCACTTCGCTACATTCTTTCCTGTCTCACCTGTCGTCCTGTCTAATAATTGAATGCAAAAAATAAAAGGGATGCAGTGATTTATCAGCAAACAATGGTAATGGCTGATATCCACCCACACTACTGTACTGTACTGTACTGTACCACCTAACTGTACTTCATGGATTATAAGACAGCTGAGTTGGTTATCAGTGTATTTGTTTATACATAATCGAACTAGCCGCTTGAACACATCTGAGCTCTTGACTCACCTCCTTCTGTGTTGTAGCAGTAGGAGGTGTAGTGGCCAGAACCGAAGCCCTTCCCATGATGCATCACCACAGCGGAGAGGTCGTAGAGGAAGTGCTTGGGACGCGGTGAGCCTGCTGAGCTGGGGCTGCTGGGGCTCGAGCAGGGCACACCTTTGGGCGAGGGCTCTAGGCAGCAGTAAGGCTCCATGTTGAGAAGCTGGTCGAAGCTGACGTGGACTCCGATCTTCTCCCGATGGTTCCGCCCAGACCACCTGAGGACCAATCACAGGACAGTAAACAGGTCAGCCACTGAGCCAATATTACACTATTACATAGAAGCCTTTAATTAATACTGTCGGCTTTAATGTAGCTCATAGTTTACACAGATTTTCCCTTGTGTGCATGTCCTTGCGCTTTACTTTTACAACTGGAAAGTGAATTTCTTGTTTACATTTTGGGACTGATATATCTCAAATAAAACAAACAGAATTGAATTGGCGACAGACATTGGCCTACTGTGGTGTAACATCACTATACCTGAAGCGTTTGAGGTGAAGCCGCAGGACCTGAGGCAGTTTGTGGACCATCAGCTGTTTTTGTGCTTCAGTCAGGAGGACTGGTTTAGAAGAGCTCCGCCGTCGAGCAGCTGCAAATAAGAGAAGCGGGTAAACACGCTATATGAACGTTACGTCAACCAGCTTTGCTGCATTCTTGTGACCAGCGGCTACACGCACTGGAATTGGCTCGGGACATCTGTAAGTATCACATAACTTTAATTCAGCTCCTTTCACTGAGATTATGACTTTCACAGCTGTAAAGTGTAATTTGGGACAAATGTGTAAATATTTTCTGTGACAGCAAATTTCCAATGTGGATATTATCCGAAAAAGAGACAGTATTGACCTCCTAACTCTCTCGCTGCCACTGGTATGATTCAGTGTTAGTTTAATTAACGAAGATTATGACTAATAAATGTATGTGTGTGCTGTTGATGGGAGTGCAGCATGTGCACCAGCAGTGATTGACACTGTGTTAAAGACCCCTCAGGGCTCTGATTGTTTTTACTCAAGCGTGGTGGATCCTTGCACATGACATTAGGAATACCAGGAGGAGCTGCAGGAGCTGTCTCCTTCAGGATATAGTGACAGTTTCAGCAAATATGACAAAAACTTTTTCTTGTAAAAGCTGCCCACTGAACCACTACACAATTCAGCACAAAGCAGGGCTGCACAATGTGTTGTTTTTTTAATCACCACAAATCCAACTTGGCAATTAACAAATCTTGACGACTGCCATTCTGCACTTTGAATATATTAACAACATATTCAATTACATCGACGTCTCTGTGGGTGCTATTTTGTCTGATTTGCGTCACGCTGTTTACTCTGCTGCCAGTCAGACGGAGCCCTCGCAGTCATGTATCAGTCTAAATCTAATCTGTATGCATGCGAGTGAGTTATTTGATCACTGCTGCTGTGCTACTCTCTACACCATTGAAAGAGGAAAGTATGACAAAATGAAGGCAGGCCCAAGTGCAAATGCCACAGAGCAACTGGTGCTAGAAAAAAACAACAGCCTTCTTGCAATATTTTGGGCACAGGAGAAACCTGGCACGAGCACAGGTATTGCACAAGCCTGAGTCAAGAACTGAGTACACTTATCGCAAGTAATACTGTCACCGCAACAGTGGACGTTACCATACAGGGGTCTAGACTGTGATCATTTTATGTCTCTGCTAACAGTGACAGAGTGACAGCTAACTCATATAAACAGGATCTGGCGCAGGTTTAGTGTGAATCAACAGGTCTGCATTACATAGGCCTCTCAGGTGTATGAAATGTCTGTATCCTCACTGTGCTGTATTTTTATCAGCTACGATCACATCACAAGATCTGATCTCTCACCATATCCAGGCAACTTCTCACTTCTCTTCCTATCCTTGCTGTTTACATACTCACACAACGGACGGTGTATGATTACATCCAGTATCTACTGTTACTAACGGCAGAACGTTACCAGCAGAACCACCAGGTGTTTGAGGACTGTGATGTTTAAAACAACTTCACTAATATCTGCTGCCTTACATTCGACACAGCTTTGCTCGTTCAACGGAGCAGCTCCAGTCTGTGTTCAGCTTTGCCCGTTAGAAGCCCAGCAGCCTTCAGAGTTAAAACTATAGCCCCTTTTACACTGCCAGATTTTCCGCGAATGTTGGGCTGTTTTGCCGGCAAGCTGCGAGCGTTTAGACACACAGAGCCGGACTGGCGAGTTAATACCAGGCGCCCAATTTTCCGCCTTGTAGGGTAGACATATTGGCGGAACCCTTTTGGTTTAAACAGAACGAGGCGCCCTTCCGCCATGGGAAGAGCTGTTGATGACGCCGCATGTGCGAGCCACTGGCGATGGATATACAGCTGATAGCAGGAATGAGCAGCTAGTAACAAGAGGGAATCGCAAACCTGACAGACACTGTAAAGATGAGCAACTGGGGAGACAAGGAATTGCGCGCCCTCCTTGTCCTCACAAACAAAGAGACCATTAACCCTCAGATGACGGGGACGGTGAGGAACAGGCCGACTTATGAGAGAATCGCCGAAGGACTGGTTACGTCACACTCTGAGCTACACGTTTTGTTACTTGCTCACGCCCCCCATTGCCCCGAAAAAGGCGCATTCAGTATAATCACAAGTAGGTAGGTGGCAATTTTCCGCACTCCCCGATTTTGTTTTTTTACTGCCAATGCTGAAAAAAGACTGATTGGGCTTTCCTGCAAATTTACACAACTCCTGTTTAAAAAGGGCTATAGAGACAGACAACCATTCACACTCACATTCACACCTACGGGCAATTTAGAGTCACCAATTAACCTGCATGTCCTTGGACTGTGGGAGGAAGCTGGAGCACCTGGAGAAAAGCCACGCTGACACGGGGAGAACATGCAAACTCTGCACAGAGGGGCTCCCCTGCCCTTGATTCGAACCGGTAACCCTCTTGCTGTGAGGCGACAGTACTAATCACCGCACCACCGTGCATTATAATTATTATAGTAATGAAAAAAGAGCGCGATCAAATCATGTGCGGATATCACCCACTGAGGAAGTTGGTAGCATCAGTGCTTACAGTGGAAAGGTTAGCGTGGAGCCTGGCATATTTTCCTCATATCGTGCAGCCCTAGCAGAAAGCCCACAACTGTACTAAATCAGAAAACCTCCGTTTAAATTACATTTAACCAGCATGGCCTTTTCAGGATTCCAGACAAGTATGAACATGTCTTTTAAAAGAACATCCAACATTTTAGGATGATTTGCCATGTCACACAGTGTTAACTTCAACCTTTATTCACAAGAAAAACAAATTCAGGACATCTTGGGACAAGCTTAATACAAAAAGTGGAGTTGGACAGGGAACAGAGAAGACAGACGCAGCCACAGCCTGGATGTGACGTTTATATTGAGTGTTAATGTGTTAATATCAGTGTCAAGCATCTGAGTTAAAAGATGAGGTGTGTGTGTGTGTTTACATGATTTAAACTCACAGTTACACTGCTCACAGGCGTAGATGTTTCCCTCCAGCGCTTCAGTCTCTGTGAACTTGGCCAGCATTTCCGTCAGATGGCATGAAGCCTGAGCAGCCGACTCCCTGCTATTACTGTGATACCGCTCGGGGAACTCCAGAGACAGATCCCAGAATGGCTCCACAGTGTTGGAGCGATGGTTGCAGGCCAGGCATGTCACCTGCATATCAGAGTGGGGGGAGATAGAGACATGAGGAGGGTAGTGATAAATTATACATACAATCTAATAACATTCTAATTGTTATATCTGCCCTGACCATCCTGCGTATCTGTCTATTTACACTGCATCAACAATATAAACAATAAACGTGATGCAAAGCCACGAGGCTGAGATCCCCAGAACCCGTACAGACACACAGCTCTCTATTCAGCCACAGCAGGTGTCTCAGTGTGTGCTCAGCCTGCACAAGTAGACACTAATCTCTTGTCCTCATACTAACTCTCTACACTCCCCACATTTCTCTTCCATCCACTTGAAGCGATGCTGAGCTTCGGCGGTGTCTATCTAAATACTGTCATCAGCTGATCATATGTCAGTAAGTGCTAGGCAGGTCTGACAATCTAAGCACGTACCACACAACAGAGTTCATTATTTACACTAAGAAGTGAGTCCTTTTACTTGGAAATATTTGCGTGATATGAGCCTGCAATTTCAATTTAAACTTAGCTTAAACAACATACAAAGGGGGTAATTCAGTTGTATTTCTACAAGTGTATGTGCTTTAATTGAGGTGTAGTTCATCAAGCAATTACAGTGAATAGAACACCTCATTAATAACTCAAGCGAAGGTGCATTATTCAAAGGTTTTGACAATATTTAAAGGAATAATATGCAGGATTTTCAGTAATAATTTGTAAACATGTTTGCCAGCAAAAGTGAAAGTAAAAGCCAACCCTAGACTCACTCTCGTTTGGGGTTTTGTCTTTCTATACTTTTGATTTTTGGCACTGTGTCCCTTGAATGTGTGCTGCTTATGTTCTGGAAGGTAGTCACACCCTTATTATAAAGCTCCGGCCTCAACTGAGAGCTGTGGGGTTACATGCCTATAAATGTCCCGAACATAGAAAATAAGGACGTGGGGCAGAATCTCTGCAGACAAATACACTGCCATACACTTCTACTGGGTCATGAGTGATGATTGAGTCTATACAATGCTTTTTAGGAAACTCTGCATGGTATATATTCAAACTATAAAAATGGCCAGAAAGGTTAGTCAGGATTGGACTGCAGCTTTATTTAGGAATATCAAAAAAGAGTGTTTAAAATGCCCATCACTGCTTCCAAAAGCTTCAGGTGACTACAACCAACAGCCCAAAATAAAACTGTATTCAGTTTAGAATGATAAATGACAAATAAATGCAGTACATCCTCACAGTGGAGAACTAGAAACCATACAATACTTATTATTTTGTCACTATTTTTGCAGGAAAAATGAATCAGTTAGTGGCAGATTATTTTTATGGCGACTGACAAATCGTTCAGTACTGTTTTAACGTGGTTCAAGTTTGAAAGAAAAACCATCACCACCTCAACCTTAAAAATATACTCCAAATGTAAGATTAATGTCAGAGCTGGAAGCTTAACCTCTACTTAAGGCTTTAAAGTGAAAGATCAATCCATCAAGGCCAACTGAATCTAACTTATAAATTAGTAACAAGAGTTCAGTCAGAGCTGATGATGGCTGTGGAATTATCAATGGACTGCGTGGGAAGATCTGAGTGGGTTCATGAGTGCAGGGTTCACAGTGAGTGAGTCAGATGAAGCCTGTGCCCACTGCTGAGTTAGCCGATGGTTAAGTGAAGGTGATTGCAGGTGTGTGTGTTTGTGTGAGTGTGTGTGTTTCATACCTGGCTGAGGAGCTGGCCATGAAAGATGGTGTTGACCACACTGAGCACCTGCTTGATGAGTCGTTTCTGTGGGACTCCCGCTGTGGTTGTGTGCTTGCCGGTGCTCTCCAGCTCGTGCTGCACTTTGTCCAACAGCTCGCACAGGAACTCCTGAGCGTCCTGCTGAGCGTAGCCCCTGAACGCTGGGATCAGCTGCCACACCGAGTGGAGCATGGCAAAAGGTGATACCAGCGCCCACTTGCCAGACCACATCACCTGGAACAAGGTGTGCAGCTCGTGGCAGAGAGAGATGTGCTTTGAGCTTGGCTCTTTGGGTTGTATCAGCTCCATGCTGCGGGCCCGGGAGGCCCCACCGCTCAGCCCTGCCCCAGAGCCTGAGCTGGCCTGGAATCCCTTCCTTTGGGTCAGGGGTGTCTGGGACGAGGCCTTCCCTGCCAGTTGGCCGTGGACGGCAGATGCCAGTAGCTCCAGTGCCTGGGTGAGATCCAGGCGCAGAAAGCACTCCCTGAAGACATGAAGGTGGCTCAGCACCTGCAGGATGGAGTTCATATAACAGGTGTTACCTAAATTCCTCAGACCCGTCACTCCAGGAGTAACCGTAGGGCGCCTTTTAAAGGGTGAGCCACCCTGTTTGGAATTCTGCTTGCGGCGAACAGGTGTTTGGGCAGAATGGGGGGTTGCTGAGGGTGTTTTGGGCTTGGATTTGGTGGTAGAAGAACGGCTCCGGGGTTTAGGAGGTGGTTGGACCTTTTTCGTCCGTCCACTTCTCTTGGGGGTGGCAGTGGCAGTGGCAGGGCTACGAGTCCTCGGCCTGCGGGTGAGAGGAGGGGGCACAGGGCTTTTTGTCTTGTTGCGTGACCTCCGAGACGGTGTCGTGGCTGCAGCATCTGCAACTCTCTGGCTCTTCTTACGTAACCGGCGACTCTTCCTGAGAGGGGCATTCTCCAGCTCCTCCTGTAGCTGCCTCTTTAGAGCCCGCCTCCTCTCCCTTGCCTCCCTTTTCTGCTCCTCCTCCTCCTCCCTCTGTCTCTCTTCTTCCTCTCTCTTCTTTCCGCATTCAGTCAATGAAAACCAGAAGCGAAAGACACGTCCCATAAGCGCCCGGCGACGATGCCAAAGCGCAGTAAACATCCTGTCCTCGTCTCTAAGCTGCAGCTCCCGGGCACCACATGGCATGATGGCTTCGACGGCAGCACTCGCAGAGCGCAGGGTGCGCCCACTGCGGGTAGTAACCTCATAGCGCTGGCTCTGGATGGCGCTGAGCGTACTACGAAGCAGCTTCAGGTCTCCTGTGGCGTTATCATTCAGGACATAGTCATCACACAGATAACAAAAAACGTAAAGTTCATTAACCTCCATAGCCAACGGGTGGTGCTGCTGCTGGAAGTGCTGCAGAGCATGTTCCTCGATGTAGCGCCCGCACGCCACATGAGCACAGCCCAGGCAGGCCCATATTGACTCGCTGGTGTTGCAGTCCACGCAGTGCCACTTCTGTGGGTTGAGGATGGAGTGGTCTGGGGCCAGCCGCAGCCGCCCCACATGCTTACACCTGTCCATTACACACGCCTGCCTGCCGAGCTGGCTGGCTGGCTGTGTCAGTCAATAGCTGACCGGCTGCGTGTGAGTCTGTATGTGTATGTGTTTCAGCGTTTCACACTGGCTTCATATCACCATGGTGACCATGGCGAGCTGAGAAATGGTACCCTCCCAGGGCATCGTGGCTTCTAGAAGGGAGAGAGAACAGATGTGGTTAGTCAAGATGAATAGAAGGAATTTAAAGCAGGTGTTTTGTCCTTTACAACAGAGGGAATTTGATCCAAAACTTAGAATAATTAATGTATCGTCCGTATTTGTTATTATGTCGCTGTATTGTTTGACCATCTACCTCTAGAGGCCAAACATCTAGCTGTATTTTTTACCATTATGACATTCTGTTCACTTCCTGTAAACACACAACAAAATTATAATCTCAACGTCATGACATCTAACCTCCAGTGACTCTGTTTTATGTGGCTATAGCTACACGCAGTAAACTGCCAGATGGCGAGCACGCTTCAACATTCCCTCACAGAAACACGGGCCAACAGTAACTGGTTGATAAACATGACTGCACTGAGTGTTGCCAGGCACTGAAACACGGAAAGGTGTGTAAGTTAACGTGGGCTGTTGAACCTAGATGTGAAACCATCGACCAGACAAACCTTTGAGCTTTTCCTGATAGTAACTGAGACACAAAAGCAGACGCAGCAAGAGTAGTCAGGGTGACTCACAGCGATATGAAAATATATTACTCTATCAAAATTTTCTAACGTAATGGAGAGCTGATAAGCAGTACAGGAGCTCCAGATGAAATCCCAGTGTCATTTAAGCTTCTGGCAGTGGGAGAGTGGTCCAAAAACACAGATCAAACAATTTGGTTTTAAGACGATAAAACTCAAAACCCAGCAATCAGTCACCACTCAACCTTTTCACACCTATGGTGGCTGGTGTGCCTCGGCTGAGAAAATGGGGGATCCTTGAGTAGTCTATCAACACCCCCCAACCACTGTGGTCAAAGAAGTAAGATTATCCAACAAAAAGGGGGGCTGAGCCTGCAAGATGGTGTACCCTTTGTCTGTGTACAGGACTACCTTTGCTGGGGAAAACAGGGAAAGAAATTGGCATAGGTAGCACAGACGGAAAGGGCAGACCGGAACATGGGAGACATGGGAGGGCAAGGTTTCTAACTTCAGCAATGTCTGGTTTCTTTCTACTGTATTGTCCCTTCATTCCATTAGGCACTTTAAAAAGCAAAACAAGCCTGTTTGAAGGCGTTCAGGGCAACGTAGGCGTTTGTTTACCAGCTATAATGTGGGAGTGGGTGTATATTTATTCAGTAAATGTTCATCAGATTGTGCTGCCATGAGTGTGTGCAGCCGCTGTGATATAAATAAAATCTCAGTGCTGTCAGGGATCCAAGACAGACCCCGTTGAGTTGATAACTAACCTTGGGTCTTTCTCAGATTGCCAAATCATAGAGCATGAAATCCTCTCGGGTTGATTGCTCATATGGCATGATGATCAGCAGTAAACGTGCAGAATAACGTGGCAATGTGCTGTCACTGTAATCAGTAACTTCAATGTCTGATTATCAACACTGTAGATTAGAGCAATCACCATGTAACTTCAAGAGTAAAGTCGCCGGCTTGATATGTATACAGTGGCGAGTGAGATATATCGTAATCAGCGTGAAAACTCTTAGTAGAGTTGCTCCAGTGTTTCTTATGTCACCAAAGTTTTATCACCAAGTTAGCGCGCTTTGCCTTGTTTGTCCTTGTGACTGCATGGTCTCAAGTGGCTGAACACCCCACAGCCTTGCGTTAACACGGGTTGCATAAGTCACAACGAAACACTACCAGCTTCTGTAGCCGTTCGACAAACTGTGCGACATTACAGCAAACCGAGAGACGTGATAAATACAGTCCAAACAGCCCAACTTTTAAGGAAGGTAACCTCCCCGGCTAAGGTTAGCGAGCCCCCCGCTAGCGTGTAATCGATACAGCTATGTGGAGTTGCGATTACAAAACACTGAAACCACACATTAAGAAAATCCAATCCGCTGTAAAAACATCACAGAATAATTGTCTAAAATGGCGTTAAATATACGTACACACAGTCAGGCGCCACGTATGTCAGCTCTGTCATTTTGATTGTATTTACTGAAGAGATTAGTGAGCCCTATCTGCCCCGCTAACGTTAGCCTAGCATGCTAGCTAGCGTTAGCCTGCCAGGCTAACTGCGATAATCCTAACAAGTTCATGCGTTAGCCGGAGGTCAGCTCTCAGCGGCAGCCTCGGCTTTAAAACCGACCGACCGGACATGTTTTAACGACAACAGGCGTATCATCGGCTACACTGTTAGACATTAAATGCGATAGGCTGAGTGAGAAGAGAAAACAGCATACCGAGCCTCTCCTTCACGGCAGTAACTCCTCTGTTTCCAAAATGATCGCCATCTTGTCAGTCCCTGTCGCGTGGTGTTGGCTCGAGCGCGTCCTCGATACGTGACGTTGTTGTTGTTGTTGTTGTTGACGGTGGTGGTAGGGGTGAAGATGTTCATTTATCTTCTCTTAAAACATTTATTATGTATTTAAAGTTGTATTATATTCTTGCACAACTATTTCACTCCTGTTTGGTGTTTAATTGTTTTGTGTCGGACTGTAAAATGTCAGTTTTACTGTAGTTTAAGTTCTATTGTTAATACTACTCATGTCAGTTGTTGTATGATGGTGCTTTAGTGTGTCTACATGTAGGACTGTTAGTTGTTGTTTACTGTGTGTTGTGACACAATGTCACTTTCATAAAAATAGAGAGCCTGAGAGTGACTGGAGAAAATCCCCGCTTTCCACTCATGATAAAAATAGAAGTAATGCAATTTTATACCATTAGAGGGAAGTGTTGGACCATTTACAATCAATGTCCCAGTGACTTTGTTACCACAGACATTATTGCCAAACCAGTATTTATGAATAAAAATATTTTGTTTCAAGTCAGGTCAGTTTTATTCAAAATTAAAAGCCGGAGAAAAAGCAACTATTCAAGTTTCCTTGCATAAAGTTCAGCAAAATATCCCTAAAGCATCAGAAAAACTCAATGGCTTCTATTGAAGTGTTATGTTATCATAGTCTGTGTGATATAATTGGATCTTTATTATTACAGAAGCATTGATGTGTACGCAGCATTTTAATGTTGAGGCTGATCAAGATGGTTATTGGTCGTCTCATCTATAGAAATTGTTCATATCTTATGTTTTGTTTGTTAAATCTTTATTCTGCAAAGTACCTCCATCTGTCAAATAAAAGCATTGGATTAAAAAATGCAATATTTATCTTGAAACTATAGAGGAGTAGATCAATAATAACATACAGTAATATATATAATGTGTAATATAATATGTAAGTATTTTTGTTCATAATACATATATACTTTTACTGCAGGGTCTTTACCTTTACCATAATAGAGACGTATTCCTGGTGGGCACTGCTAGTTTTACTTCAAGGGACAGTTCACCTCCAAAATCAAAAATACACATAGCTACTTCTTCTTACCTGTAGTGTTATTTATCAGTCTAGATTGTTTTGGTGTGAGTTGCAGAGTGTTAGAGATATCAGCTGTAAAGATGTCTGCCTTCTGTCCTATATAATGGAACTAGATGACACTCAGCTTGTGGTGCTCAAAGTGCCAAAAAATGCATTTGAAAAACATCAGTGTCTCTTTATAGAAATCATGACCAGGTTACTCAAGATAATCCACAGACCTTGTTGTGAGCAGTTTCATGTAGGAACTACTTTCTTATTACCAAACTACACCCACCACCTCAACCGATCTCACTCCCAACTAATCAAATACATTCACTAGGCCAACGGCCCTTGGTGTCACACACCGACACACTGAGGCACCCTTTAGCGGCTGTATATGATGACACCCAGGCTACTGTAGCAGTAAAAAAGGTGAGAAATGGGTCAAACAAACTACAGACTTTCAACTAATAGCCCAATGTTTGTGTCCCATGTGAAACCAAAAGTCAGTGGAGTTATTTAAATAACACAGTAATGTGCTAGTAAGTGTTGCATGCTATGCTAGTGACTTATGTCATGTGACATTATGTAAGTCACAAATGAATTATTTTAAGTCAAACCATGCTGTTTTTTTTCTTAAACTAACCACATACTTTGAAACAACACAATACATGTAACAAGCGTTAATTGACACGTAGTCCCTGAACATCCAAAACTGACGCTGGAGGGTAGAGCATCAGTTTGACACCAAGGACTACTGACCAAGCATCAGTGTTTGATGAGTTGGGAGTGAGAATGTGTTGGCCAACTGTATCACTGTGCAAAAGAAAGAGTGCATCTACTCATGGATGAGAGGCTTGTGCTCGTAACAGTGCTAGATGTTAACATTAATGGCGTCCTCCTTGGCTGAGCTGTATTAGCTAGCTCTGGGTGCAAGGTGAGCTAATAGTAGATGTACGCTTCCTTCAGTGCGGTCTAGAAAGAAATTATTTCCTACATGAAACTGCTCAAAACAAGGTCTGTGGATTATCTTGAGTAACCAGGTCGTGATTTCTGGAAAGAGGCATTGGTGTTGAGTTTTTCAAATGTATTTATTTGACACTACAAGCTGAGTGTCATCTAGTTCCATTATATTGGAGAGAAGGCAGACATCTCTGTGGCTGATATCTCCAACACTCTGCAACTCACACCAAAACAATCTAGACTGATAAACAGCACTACAGGTAAGAGGAAAAATATGTGTATTTGATTTGGAGGTGAACTGTCCCTTTAGGTAAAATATCTGATTACCACTGCCTGTAACTCTGAAAGCCTTTCTTTCATGGATCACAAATGTGTGGTTGTACCTTTAGGAGGTATTTTAAAGTCCTGTGTACTGGTGTGGGATGCAGGTGTAGCACTTTATGCTGGTTAATGGGGGCTGGTGGCACTCACTATGTAGATCCTATCAGTGTAATGCCAGAGGTTTTATAACACATACAACAATACTTTAATGTCTGCTATGTGAATTTAAGTCTCAACAGGGAAAACACTGAGTCATTGTGTGATCAATTGTGCAAGAATATATTGCGTCAGTATAGAGGAGGAGGATCAGAGACGCTTATGAGAGAGATACTTTAGTTGATAAAGTGTTATTATTACAACACATTGTGAATCCCTGTATAAATATTACAGTAATTTCACATTAAACATCTCCATGAAAGAATAAAGGGAGGAGGTGGTTTTCATTGAGGAAATTGCGCCCGAGGGAGGACTTTTAATCTCAACACACGCAACCTGAATGCATGTGAAGAATCCCTCTCATGTACTGATTAGTGGGGAACTGATCCATACAAGCCTTCTTAAACCCCCACTGAACAAGGGGAGTGTGGTAATAGGTGTGTGTTTTTATATGTGTGTGTGTCAGCGGACCAGAGGTTTGTGTGTGAGAGAGATTAAGGGGCGTTTGTGAGTGACTTAGAGAAAGAGGTATGTGTTGATGTGCCATGCGATGCCTGTGAATCACCTCTAATGTTTTTCTCCCTCTATGTCCCCGGGCCTTCACCGCCGTCATGTCCACACATGCTAACTCTCCCTCCATGTCTCCCTCCCTGTCCTTTTTTCATCTGCACTCTCTTAAAAACACATTTTTCTGTCACTATACTTCTGAGATCCTCATGTTGACTCACTGCCTTCCATCTTTAGAGTTGCATTAACTCATAGTTTTTAGTTTAGCACTGAATTAAAACAAAACAGAGATTTATCGCTCAGTGTTGCAGCTTGACCTTGCTTTGAGCTTCTTTTAGCTCATTGTTTTGGTTTTACAGGATATTTACAGTATGTGTCAATGTCACTTTTTCTCATGAACCCTTGTTTTCAGCAAACAAGCCGATCAAACGAGGACACTCAACAAAAAACAAAAAACAGCCATGTAGATTGACTGTGCAATCAGCTTATTATGAGCCATACTTAAGTGTATTTTAAGGTAGTGCCCCCTAGAGACCGGAGTAATTATATCTGGAGCAGAGGGGGAAGTGAGGTGATGTGGTATAAAAAGCGACAAAGTCTGTTTAATTTTGTAGTTGGATGGACGAGATCCCTATTGGTTGTACAGGAGGGGTGGTGGATGGGTCAAACAAGCACAGGACTTTCATCCAGGAGACTGGTGTCTGTGTCCTGAAGTCAGTGTCTTCACCTTTTTTAATGATAACTAGGGCTGTCAAGGGATTAAGAAAGTTAATTTAATTAATTCAATTCAAATGAATTTTGACAGATATTTTGTAGTAACGCTGCTGGATTTTGGACACAATTGTTCCCATGTCCTCTACCACTGTAACTTGCCTGCAGTCCATTGCAGTCCATTTTGCAAGGGAGTCACTGAGTCGATCACAGGTAGACTTACTCAGTTTGCGTCTGAACGCCTGGTTGAGAGTGGCATGGCAAGGCTGGCTGCTAGCGCTAGCATCAGAAGCTGTGCTAGCTCGGACCTCAGGGTTCGCTGCCAAATGCTTTGCGTTGAGGTGATATTTCAGACTTTAAGGTGATAGTTCAGGTTTTTGGACATGAAGTTGTGTGAAACACTGACCATCTGTAGCTCTGATGTGACGGTGTCACTACTGTCAGCGAGCCTCCTGCTCTGAGAAATCGCCCGTAGCTTGTTTTAAAATTATTGAAATAGTCTAACAAAACACATGCATACTTTTTTGTAGCTTAAACCCTTTTGGTTACGTGTCCCCCTTATATCTTCAGAACTACTTTTTCTCCGGTAAGCTGCGGGCGATTTCTCAGAGCAGGAGGCTCGTTGACAGTAGTGACACCGTCTCATCAGAGCTACAGATGGTCAGCATTTCACACAACTTCATGTCCAAAAACCTGAACTATCACTTTAAGTACTCCGATGGTGCGAAAATTCCTTACTGTGAGTACTGTGTCAGTCAGTGAGACTTAATGGTATGTGTAGATGGATTTTATTAAATTTGGACAGAGCCAGGCTAACTGTTTCCCCGTTTCAAGTATAGACTGTATAAAATAATAGACGTAGCCACCATGTCATCATCTACCGGTTTGTGGTTTGTTTTGAAGCCTTCAGCGTTTTTGGCCGTCGCTATCTTGGATTTTTGGAGCCAGAAGTGACCATATTTGGACAAAAGGGTGGAGCTGTGGAGGAGCAAGGACTTAAGTGACTTAAAGTAGCCGAGGTGAAGCCTCGCAGTCAGCCTTACACTTAAAGCAGCCATGGGTTTAATAATGCGTAACTATAAGCCTTATTAAAATTCAAATGGGTGAGTTATAAAATGATTCAGCCCCCAATCAGTTTTTTGCCTCTGTGCCAGCAGCAGCGTACATACATTCCATCCTCGTGAATGCGATATCTCAAGAACACCTTGACGCAGTTAACTCAATTTTGGCACAAACGTCCACTTGGACTCAACAATGAAATGATTAGATTTTGGTCAAAGGTCAAAAGTATAGGTTTCTGTGATCTTGCGTCCATCACATTCTCAAGAATACGATATCTC